ACGCGGATGCCGGCCTTGCGGCACATCTCGATGGAGGAGGTGACCTCCTTGCGGGGAGGGTCCAGCATCCCCACGCAGCCCACGAAGGTCAGGTTGTTCTGAGGGGGGAGACAGCCCCAGACCCACATTAACCTGCGGGGATGCAGCCGCTTCCCTCCCCGCTGTGAAACCACCCCGGGCACGGGCATTTCCCCTGGGAGGAAACTTTCAGGAGGTTTCCTACCAACAGCCCCATGGATGCACCCTACAGCCCCAATGCAATGGGATGCTCTCGTCCCCTCTGCGGCTTCCCACATCTTTTCGCTTCGCTCCCCTTCCTCCTTGTGGTCCCCAGGTGGTGGTCCCCAGGCCAGTGGCCACCCCACGGGGATGGATGCCCAGTGGGACTGGGCTGTTGGCCTCAGTACCAGCCCTGCTGCATGCAACTCTGCACCAGGGTTTGCAGAGGAGGAGCTGAGCTGTTGCATTGCCCAGTGCCCACGGAGAAACCAGAGAGAAAATACTGCTGGAACAGCTGGAATTGGGCGGGAAAACTTTGGGAATAAGGAAGGAAGCTCCTGGAGAAAGCCACCGGTGCCGTACCTCGTAGTGGATGAAGGCGGCAGAGTCATGCAGCTGCATGGTCTCCCTGCGGAGCGGGCGGGCGCGTCGTGAGGGGCCAGAGCCAGGCAGCGCAGCGTGTCGATGCCCATGCCCCAATCCCGGATCCTGCCCAGGATCTTCTCCCGCACCGGGGCCGTCAGCGGGACCCTGGCGGTCCCCACACGGACGTGGGTGCAGCGCTCGATCACGCTTTCTGGGGCGCCCTGGGGAGAAGCAGAGGGCTTAGGGGCTGGAATGAACCTGGAGGATAAGCATCTCTCGCCAGCGCCGAAGGAAGTGCCGGAGGGAGGGAAGGCACCAAGTTTGGGCAAAGGAAAAGGCAACCTCCCCAAAACTCCAGCACACGCATCCCGGCACGGCGGCTCAGCGCGCTAGATGGCAGCCTCTGACCGAGCGCACGGGGACCGCGGCCGGGAAGGATGAACCCACGTCAGGTCACCAGACGGCAGGGTCTGCTCTGCGGGGGATCCGTCTGACTCCCGCAAAACTGACACCTCTGCCCGGGATACTCCCGGATCCCCTCTCAGACCTGGAGGGGATTAGGACCGTAAGTCTCCGCTGAAAAAATGCGCTGCCTGCGGGATGCTCAGCGGATGCTTGCGATGCCTCTGCGATTCAGGAAAACATGTCCTTCAGCATCCCAGCATCTCACCCTGTCCCTTCTGACCTTACAAAGGACCCTTGACATTGCTTTCTAATATAAAACTTGCAATCCTTCTATTGCTCCTCTTAAAAAAGCTCGCCCAGGACCGGCAGGGCCACAGATGCGGTGGCTCCGGAGGGTCCCAGCCTGACCTGGAGGACAGAGTTCACCCACCCAGAAGATCTCCCAGGGGGAACAACAATATACAAATCTTCTCGGAGTCAGCGGGGGGAAATTCCTGCCGCACCTCTTCTCTTGGGAAGAAAATGCCCTTTAAACCACTACTTTATTTCTGGTTACAGTGGAAAGCTGGACATCGCCCTTTGGGCGTTACTGGTGTCCAGAGGGTCCAAGCCTTTAGCAAAAAGGGACAGTTCTCCCCCGGCCCCAGCACCAGCACACTCAGCGCCTTTTCCTCCCTTTAAATCATTTAACCTCCTTTTTTTCCTATCCATACTGCAAAGACTCACCTCCTCCCTGACCACCCCAGCCTACCTGCTGGCTCCTGGGAGCTAAGGGAGGAGACAGACCGCAAAGCACCACTGCCTGCTGCAGTCAAGGGCCAAATCCTGCTGGGGTGTGCATGGGGAAGGAGGATCCTGCAGGGTGCTGAGGACCTTCTCCCCTACCTTGACGAACATCTTGCTGCCTGCAGAGTTGTGGCCGGGGCCGGTGGGCGTGCAGTACACCGACATGGACTTGCGGTCGCGGGAGAACTCCAGGGTGCATTCCTTCCTCATCAGCTGCTTGATCACCTGCGGGGACAGCGTGGGGCTGAGCCGGGGCATGACCGGGACACAAAAAACCCCCCCCCCGGCCCACCCCCCCCGCCGGAGCCGGCACAGCACCGGTGATGGGAGGAAAAGGGCAACCACAGGAGCCAGGAGGGGTGGGACAGTGCAAAAAGCAGAAGGAGCTTTCCCTATGCAATTTTCCTGAGAATTTTAACCCCTCCGACTACACCGTTGCTGCCCAGGCCACAGCACACGCCAGCGTGTGCCAGACCTTTATTTTATTGACCCCACACAGGATGCCAAAGATAAAGCCCCGTTTGCCCGAGAGGTGGGGGAGACTTTCCCCCGCACTGGGCTCCAGGACGGGGCATTGCATCCCACTCATTACAGTTGAGGGGTTTCCCCTGATCCTGCACCCACAGGGGTCAGTGGGAGTGGGAGCACCAACATCACCTGCGGCTGGATTGGTTTCCATCAAATTAACCAGCTCTGCAGCTGAGACTAATTAGGCTCATTTCAGGACATGCTAATTACCCAGAGGACTGCCAGCTAAGCAGTAACAATCATTCACTCAAACGGTACCTGCAGCTTTGCAGGGCGAGGGCAGGGCAGGGGCTGCCCCCGCGCACGGACCCACGGGCACAGGCAGTGCCCACAGACAGGCTCCTGCACCCCAACACCCCACCACAAACCCGGCTCTACTATGGCTACTAGTTAATTATTTAAGGAGCCAAACGCCCAAGCCAGTCCTCCTCAGACCGATCCCCATCCTGCGCATCCCCACCGGCATCCTCTCCCGGGAGGAGACATCTTGTCCCAAAAAAGCCATTTAATGAGCAGCACATCTGGGGCTGATCCAAAGTATTTTCCGGAGAGGGCAGCGGGGACGTTGATGCCAGCCTTGCTCTGCATGGCTCAACTGCTTATATGATTATTATTTTTTGTTGCCAGGAGGGCATTTGCTTGCAGCAGGGACACAAGCACCTTTTTGCACAGGACTTTTAGAGCAACTTAAATTTAAATAAATCAGTGAAGGGGGCAAAGCAAAAGAAAACTCCTTTGGGGGTAAAACCGTGCAAGTTCAAAGTTAAAAGGATGCTCCTACTGCAGCGAAACTGCGAGCGGGAGCTGGGGAGGTGGAGAGATGTGCAAAGGGGATTCACCCACGCAAAACGCGGGCACTGCCTGTGGATATACCAGGCAAACACCAAGCGGCTCTCGAAGGCCAAACAAGTGCAGTGACTACCCGTAGGCGGGAAGTTTTGTGCCCACAAAAGCAGTGCTGTCCCCGCTCAGCGCAGCAACAAGGACACTTGGGAGCAGCCAGCCGCTGTGGAAACCCCAAAATCCCACCGGAGATTTCAAAGCACAGAGCCACCGGGAGCAAAATCAAGCAGCAGTGAAGAAACGCTGCCAGGAAACCCCAAGGAAGGGGGTTTTGTCCCTGCCCAAACACAAGAGTAAGGAGAGAAGCACCAGTGGCCGAACCCAGCCTGGCAGCTGCGCGGGAGGGCAGCGACGGGCACGCGTAACGAAGCAGCTGCCGGACTGATGTACAGCTGGGAAATTCCATCTCCCTTATCAGAAAGGAGTCAGGGGATTTATTATGACCTCCTTGGACCTATCTGGGGAAGAAATGCCAGAACAGAGAGCCCTTCCTTTGAGCAAGCAAAGACATTGTAAGATCTAACAGCATGATACCAAAGCCGAGTAAATCCAGACATGAAATAAAGTGTATTTTCACCAGGAGGACGGGGAGACGCTGGAGAGCTGGAGTAGGGGAATAGCCAGCAGGGGATATTTTCACATCAAAAATAGATGTTTCCAAAGAGCAAGCCTTGTTCAGGCTCTGGGGAATGGGGTTTGGTTCACGCTATGGAGGACGGCTGTTCAGTGCAAACCGGGCACCTAAAAGATTTGCTGCGAAGCTACAAAACTCCAAACCTCCTCATCTGCAGCCGGAGCTCTGCCCATCACCGAGGGGATCTCTCCTGGCTGAGCAAGGACTGGGCTGAGTTTGAGCCTCGGGGATCACCCGCTCCGAAGCTCCATGTGGACCCAGGTTAGTTCCCACGGCCGCGGCACCAGCCCCCCCGGGGTCACTGCACTATCTGCTCCAAACACGGCTCAGCCCCCTGCGAGCCAGGAAATTGCATCCTCGTGGCAGATCAGTCCCTTAGATCATTGCAAGTGGTTATTGCTCAAATAACAGTCGTCCCAAAGCCCGCCTCTCCCTCCCGTCCCCCGGCACCGGAGCTCACAGGGGCCTCCCCCCCACTCACCGAATTGCAGGCGTTGGCTCGCTCCACCTTGGAGAGTTTGCTGGTGTCGGTGTTGAAGACGTTCATCTTCTCCACCAGGCACGTCAGGGCTGTTTCAGTGGCTTCCCCCACTTTCTCGTAGACTTTTTTGGACTAGAGGACAGAAAAAAAAGAAGGAGCTTAAGCTTTAGAGCACATCCCCTACCTGCCGCTCCGACCAAGGATGCCGTTGCCCTCCGCACCATCCCGGGGCTCCCAGAGCGTTGACCTGGGATGGGCTGAAGCCAGGGCAGAGGATCCCAAGGGACAAACCTCCGCTGCGAAGGGGCCCGCAGCGAAGGGAAGAGCATCACCCGTGCCCCCCCCCAGCCCCGGTGCCCCCCCCACCCCGTTGTCGTCCAGGGAGGACTCGTTGCGCTTTGCAGAGGGCGCAGATGGTGGCCAGCTCCACCAGCCCGTCGTACTGCCCGCACTGCACCGGCTGCTCGTCCTTCAGGCTGCGGGGAGAAAACAACCCCCAAAGCCTTACACTTCACCAGGTTACACGTTCAAATAATACTTAGCTTCTCCTATATATCCCTCGTAAACTTTTCTGAAAAGAGGGAGAAAGAGCCCGGTTAAAGCCCCGGGCTTGGCAATAAACGCTTGGGTTTGCATTTTGTGCTTTACCAAATGGGGCAGGACTAGTTGCAAATAAAATATCACAAATAAACTTTGGAAGTGCCCCAGAATAAAGGGGGCTGCAGGGGAGCGCAAAAGAGCATTGGACCTGAACGCAGGGGCTGTCAAAAGGCTGCTGATGAGGATGATGGACGAGAAAAGGGGTAAAGAAATTCAAGTTAACGTTCACTCCCCCAGGGGTTTCCAGTTGCTGGGGATCCAGAGGAGCTGCAGGACCGGCAGCAAGTCCCTTCTCCTTCCCGTGATGCTGCTTCGTGCTCCGGAGAGCCAAAGGGAGCGTTTAAGAGCGGCAAACAAATTTAACATCTGCATTGCTGTGGCTGTTCCTAAGCAAGCGGCGAACTGTGGCCTTTGCTTCCTAAATAGCAGCTCTTTGCTACGTAAAGGAGCACAAACTGGAAAGGAGCAGCCCCGAACACCCCAGTCAAGCCAGATGCTGCTTCTTGCCCGGTGGCAGAAACGGCAGCGGTGGTTTTCAGGGGAAATAAAAAATTATCCCGGCTCCAGGAGAGGTAACTGCAGGTTAGAGCTGTACAAACCCAGCCGGTCATCTGCTTGCTGGAAAAATAATTTGTCAGGCATTTATTAGGATCAGTTTATTCCACTGCTGGTTCCCAATGGAAAGAACATTTTGGAGCCCTTGTTACAGCTCAGGAGCGGAAAACAGGGAGCGGCCAAGAAAATCTGAAAAATCTGTTGTTGCTGAGGGACAAGAAGCGGCCCCGGGCTGCGAGCGGGCGGGGGAGAGCCGCTGCCCCCGGCCCAGGGGATGCTGCCCCGGGCAGGGGCAGGGGGAAGGCAGCGGGTGGAGGAGGGAGCCTGCAGACACCCTGGGCCAGGGTTAGGTGTTTGGGAAGGTGGAAATACCGGGGATGGCTTTTGGAGCGTGTGATCCCCTGGATAGTGCTGGGAAGGGATGGGGGGATATGTCTCCATCGTCGGCTGGCCCCGCAGGGAGCCGGGCGAGATCCGCGCGCTGGGAAAGGCATCAGCAAAGGCGCTGCTGGCTGGGGGGTGTGTGGGGACACGAGCAAAACCCAGGGCAAGACACCACGACCAGGCTAAAGCAAAGCCGCCGAGTCCTCCAAGCATTTCAGTCCCACCAGCCCCGGGGGAATGGGGGGGTTTCTCCCTACGACACCTAAGCGAGCCCTCGCATTCCCCTTGATGCGCGGGGCGAGCACGGGGCTGAAACAAAGCTCAAAAGCAACATGAATTGCTGCAGAGCAATGCAGAGCCTCACCACAGGCAGG